TGGACTTTGTTATGTTAATGAGGCAGGATTAGTGTAGGGTGTGTTTTGAGTCAATCTCTTTTGAGATATAAAAGAGATCAAAACAAACAACCAACCAGGCAGGGCAAGCAGAGATGAGGGAAGAGAGATGCCAAGCCCAGTGAAGATGAGTCAGGAGCAGAAGCTGAAGACACAATGACCTTCCTCTTGAACCAACATAGAAAAAGCCTTCCCCTAGAGCTGGCACCCTGAGTACAGACTTCTAGCCTCCTAAACTGTAAAATAAATACCCCAAAACCAAACTCACTGCTGTCGACTCGGATCCGACTCATAGCAACCCCTCCTTGGGCCCAACCTTCCTCCCAAGGAGTGGCTGGTGGGTTTGAACCTCCAGCCTTTTGGCTAGCAGTCAGATGCCTTAGGCACTACCCCACCAGTTTGTTAAAGTGATCCACTTGTGGTATTTCTATTATAGCAGCACTAGATAACTAAGACACTTAGGGTTATAAATAGAAGAGGAGAATATATTGACAATACTGCGATTCAATTATTCCCTCAAGTATTAATTTTTTTCATATTATGTACATGAGGAATATATATTTGTAACTTAGAAATTGAGCTCTGTGGAATTACACCAACCTAAGAATAATTCTTCAGGGTTTCACCAAATAAGTTGTTAGTGTCTTTAATAATGAAAACCTAGTAAGCATTTCAGAATTTGGTTATGATTAGGTGTTGACATAAACATGAAAGCTGACCTCAGTGAACTCTAGAGAACCGTGGCTTTTGCATTTGCCTCAGAAGGCAGCCCACAAGATGCTTCTTCAGATGATTTCTGTCATTTTTGAAGATCACTAATTCTACTTGCTCTTATTTTGGTAGAGTGGCAATGTCTTAAACACTGTAAAAATTGCATTCTATCATAGAAATAATGAGCCTCTGGTAAAGCATAAAAGGAAAATGGATGTGGCTTTTAAGAATATTTGAAGGATAGTAATAAAGGGAGTGGTGGTGAAAAAATTCCATATTGAATATTATACATTAACTCCCACATTGTCTTTTGTATTTTTTCATAAAGGAAAGGTAATGTAGAGTCTCAATTTAAATTAAGTGAAATTAGTTGTATTTGTTTGCTGAAAGTTACCTAGCTTCATAAGATGAATTATTTTTCTCTGGACACCATATTGTGTTTACCTGAATATGGAAATAAAATATCATATCATTTCTATGTATACACTTCCTCAAAGCTATTTGGAATTTTATTAATCTTGAGCTTTCCTTTAGACTGTTTTAGTCCTTATTTCTGAAATTGTTAATATTATCCTTTAGAGACAGGGATTTTAAATAGATTTTAAAAAATCTATTTAAATAAATTTAAAACAATATGCTTATATTTATGATATAGTACTAGCTGTTGTAGAAAGTAAAATCACCCTAAGAATTTATAAGGGAGATCCTTGTTTCTGCTCTATAAAAAAACCAAGTAAATCATACTTGTTTTTCATCTGTTCACTCAGCTGAGAAAGGGAAAGTAAAACTGAGGCCAAGGGAATAGAATATTAATTTTCTGAGTTTATTTTACTTCCATATATTGGAATGAAGGTGAGGTAGGATTTTTACAAACCTTGGTAATGTTTCAGACTTAAGTATAAGAGTTAACATGCATATTCAATTTTCTATAGTTTCACAATGGAGCCAAAAGCATGCCTTATACCTATAGTAGCTATATATTTTGCATATGTCACTCAAAATGAAATCCTCAAATCTCCATGTGCTGTGCAAAACTCTGGTGGCAGTTAAGGCATTTGGCTACTAACCAAAAGGTTGGAGGTTCAAACCCACCAGCTGCTCTGCAGGACAAAGATGAGGGGTCCTGCTTCTCTAAAGATTTACAGCCTTGGAAACCTATAGGGCAGTTCAGCTTTGTCCTATAGGGTTGCTATGAGTTGTAGTTGATGGCAGTGCTTTATTTTTATTTTTTTTTCCTTTGGTTTTGTGCTGCTGATAAAACACACCAGACAAACCTGTCTGCCAGGCGGCTTTGAAAACTGACTTAACTACATGGCATTAATAAATTATTGTTTCAATTCCACCATGGTAAGTGATTTCCACTAATAATTTGGTTTTGCTTTATTAAAAAAATACACCCCTAAAAACAATATAATCCACAACCACATTTTCTTATTCCCCTTAATTTCAAGTTGTAATTAGGAAAGATACAATTTCTTTAAATCAGGAATGAAAACATGTTTCATAAGTCTTCTAAGGGATTATCATTCTTCATTAACCACATAGCAAATATGAACATCTTGGAATTTAAGAAGTAGAGCACAAAATAATAAGCAATCTTGTAAATTAAAGAGATTTGAAGTCACCAGTTGATATTTTCTATGCAGAATAAGTTGTTAGTGTCTTTAATAATGAAAACCTAATAAGTTTCTTAGTAATTGTAAAACAATATAAACCTAAAACTGGTATTCTTGTATCCAATAATTGATGCTTAAGTGATAACAGAAATTACATTAGTTTGTCCTAATGTCTTGATTTGAAGATGGAGGTACCATTATTTTTGTTCCAAAAGTGCTGTTTTAGGTGTTTCTTTAGGGGGTTATTCTTCATATTGTTGATATTTTAAAATATATTTTAAACAATGTGCTTATATTTATGATACTGTACTAGATGTTATAGAAAGGAAAAGTGGCCTAGAAATCTACAAGGGAGATCCTTCTTTGTTTTTCCTCCTTAAAAATAAATTAGTTGAACTTCATATGCATCATTAATGATTTTGGTTAATGTAGAGGGGGAAAAAAGATAACATAGCTTTGGATCTGGACATACTTTGTGCCACCACATAATGAAGATCTGTGACCTTTGGCAAGGTACTTGGTTTTTCTGTCTCATTGTCCTCCTCTGGGAAGCAATATCTATCTCTCATATTTGTTTTAAGCATTAAGTATATTTTGAAGCATACTTCACATAAGTTATTTGTCTATAAATAAATGTTTGTTTTTCCATTTAGGTACACTCAGTTTCCTAACTGAGCTCCCCCAGTAACATTAATTTTGAGGATAAGGAATTGTTGGAGAAGTAAAGATTTGTGTATTTAGCTCAAATACACAAATAAGTCATATAAGTCTCTACTTTCAAATTATTTCTTTTATCTGTGTCCTCTTCTCTCTTTTAAATTTATGTATGAGAAACTGGATGCTTAAAACACTATGCATGTATATTTCTAATATTGATTAACTTTCTATGGTTTATATAAGCAGTACTTATAAACTGTTGTTGGCATTACTTAATTATTACAGAGAATGAGAGAACTGAACCCCTTTGAGTCTTGAACATTTCTCAGGAGTTGAGTTAGTGGTAAATCCATGAACATTTTAAACAAAATTTTGAAGCAGCATCTTGGAGTTCAATTTCTTTTGTTTACTGTTCATTAATTAGAATGGTGAATTTCAGTTGTTCCAATGCAAAATGAACCAAATAATAGGAAATTAAACTTGAAAGCAGTGCACCTTTAGTTTGTTCAACAGTTATTAAGAAAAGACATTACACAAGCCATCATCATATATTTCAACAGTTTTATACTCAATTTCTTTCAACAACCCTTTGGGCAATATCTCAAGATAATTTACTGGTAAATGCATTGATCTTCTAGAAGACGTTTGGAATATTTAGTAGTTTAACCTCCTGAGACACCCTAGGAAAGGAAACTGATCAGAAAACTTAACAAAGAAATAAATAGGTTAAGGGTGAAAGTAATGTTGGGGTTTTGCACTAAGTTTGCTACTGTGCCATTGCTTCCATTAAGAGCTGTAGTTGTTTTTCACCTCCTTACTAGGGGCAGAGAGCTACTTTGCTATTTAAAGGCTTACCACTAAATAAGACTTTGTGACTGGCCTGTTCAGGGTGGTATGGCCATAGACTAAATAAAACTGTTTCTGAAGAACTACTCAAAAATACGTAATATTAAGAAATCTTTTCAAGTGGCAATTTACAGGGGGATTTCCTTATCCTGGGAGCTCTAGTGGCATAGTGCATAAGGCATTTGACTGCTAACCAGAAGGCTGGCGATTCAAACCCACCAGCCACTCCTGGGAAGGATGATTGGGCAATCTACTTCCATAGAGATACTGCCTCGGAAACCCACGGAGGGGTCACTATGAGTCGAATGGACTCCACAGCAGTGAGTTTGGTTTGGTTTTTCCTTATCCTATTGTACGTCGGTGAAGGAAACTGCTACAGTTAGCTGCTACAATGGTGCTTTCTATAGATCTGCCACTACAGTCGGCGGGCTGTTTTGACTGCAGCCACATCTGGGTTACGTTGGGAAGCGCTCCAGGACCGATTATAAGAGCCAACTCCTTTTGGAGAGCGCCTCTGCCTCACAGCGACCCAGGGATTTTAGAGTTTGCAAGCAAACCTGCTCTTGCTCCGGTGGCCTCTTTTCCCCCTCCACTATCCTATGGAGCCGGGCGCCAGTTTCCAGGCTTTCAGAAGGCATCATTTTCCACGTGACTTGCTGCACACTGCACGGTAAGAAAAGGGTTGGTTGTTCACTGAAGCCCACGTGATCCTTGTCTGGACCAGGTTTTCCTTCCTAATCCCAGGGCCGGTTTCAGAGGTCGCTCCGCTATGATCAGTGGGACAAACGGCAAACGCACAACCGCGCCCACCAAGGTCAATCACTGCCTTCCCTCACTCCTAGCATCAGCAGTGAAGATTCGCAGGCGGGCGCCTGGGTCGTTTGCAGACTTCTCATGCCACTTTCCAGTAGGAAACCCCTAAAAGTAAACGACACCTGGGAACTCCACATCCTGTTTAAATCTTGCTGGGCATCAACCTATGATTCCCTGCGTTTGGCTTCACAGAGTTGAGGGCTAAGTCCAGCAAAAAACCAAGAAACAAACCCATAAATGAACTTATTCCCTGCCTCCTTCCCCGGGGAGTTGCCGGCTCAGGAAGGTGCGCAGGCTCTCCGCCGCTCCACGTTTGCAGCAGTCATTGAACTAGGGTGGGGAATTGGGAAGAAAAAAGTCATCGTGGGCGGCTGGATGTACCCGCTGTCAGTCCCCTGTAGCTGCACGCAGGTACTGGGCGACATCGCGATGACCTCGCTCCTCAGCGAGATCCACCGGCAGTCGGCCCCAGGCGTCGTGCACGTCCAGCCGCGCCCCGGCACGATGCAGCACCACCAGCGTGTCTAGGAAGCCCTCCCGGGCAGCATCGTGCACCGGTTGGGTGAGGGTGGCAGGGTCCGCGCAGTTGGGCTCGGCACCGAAGAGCAGCAGCAGCTCAGCCACGCGGGAGCTGCCCATCATCATGACCTGCGGGGAGAACAGAGGGGTCAGGGCAACCGGCGGCGAGTCAGCGAGATGCAGGCTTTGGAGCAAGCATATCGAGTGGGTGAAGCCATTTTAAAGGAATACATATTTATGAAGTACCCACCCAATTCAGAAGCGCTTAAAAGGGTGTCTGGTTACTCTCCAGTTACTGACACAATTGCCCCCTCTCCCGCCAGTTACACTCACTACTTAGTTCAAACTGAATTCCATTCTTTCTCCAAATGTGAGGAGACAGGAGAGAGTCGATGACAAAGTGCTTATTCTTTGTGTGTGTGGGGAATCATGATTTCCACTGGGACGTGGAAATCTATTTTGTTATATGATTTAGGGAATGGAGTTGTTTCTCTTGCTCTCCTCCTTTCCTGTAATGCAGGTCTCAAAATATTTATTAGGCAGTCAACTGATATTTTCATACGTTGGGGTAATAATAGAAGTAAACTAAGTTTAAAGAGGTTTACACTGTTTAGTTTTCATAGCTTTTGCCATATTCCATACATGTCTGTGCTCACAAATGCACCATAGTGTGATGATTTGGGCCAAAGCTGGAGGTAGAGAGGAAAAATGAAATCAAGTCACTTTTAGTTTTACAAGATGATGAAAAAAATGACTAGTTTTTATTAAACAGTTCACAATTTTTGATATTTTAAGTTAATGGTATAGCTAAAATTTAGTGTGTAACATTTAATGTAACGTAAAACAAACACTATTGTGCAACTTGACTAGCATTTTATAATTTAAACAGTAATATTTTGTTGTATAAAAAAAAGCTTGGATGTTGGTGGTCAATTAGAGCAATGAATAACTTAGGGAAAAAACAGTATTTTGAAGGAATAATTTTATAGCATTATTTACACACATTATGCTGGAATTAGTGTTGTTATTTTAAGTGAACTATAAAAATGATTTTTGATAACTACATGTTCAAAATGAAGTGTTTTTTTTGTGCTTTAAAATGTACCATGTGATCGAAAGGCAGTCTACCTCTAGTTTTTTGTTTCATTAATATTAGAAACATCTGTTTCTTCCCTTAAAAGCCAAGATATAATTGATCATTCCCACTGATGATGTAAGAAGGACTCTTTATAAGTAAATAGAAAAATGTTTTTAAATATGTCTCAGAAGATGAACTGAAACTGTAAGAAAACAAAACATGAAGTCTTTAAAAGCCATGTTAAAATATTTTTGTTGCCTTTAAACTATCCCTCACTTGTTACACCAATTTTCTAATTTTCAAAAGGAATGAACACCTGGTTTCTTAAAAATCTGCATTACTGACAAAATTTAATAGCTGAGTTTTGAAAGTAATGGTAAATACTGAATATGAACCATAGCCATCAGCAGCAAAGCACAAAAGCATTAACTTAGATTTTAATGGCACTTAAAAGTGCTAGTGCAAGTGGGAAAAGGAGCCTTGGTAGCTTGAACCCACCAGCGGCTCCTCTGGAGAAAGGGGAGGCACTCTGCCCCGGTAAAGATTTACAGCCTTGGAAACCCTATGGGGGGCAGTTCTACTCTGTCCTATAGGGTCTCTAAGAGTTGGAATAGACTCCACAGCAATGGGTGGGTTAAATAAAGCGAAATTAATGGTTAAACACATTGAGCAAGTTTGTTTTTAAAATTAAGAGACTATTTACCAACACTACATGCTATTTAAAAAGGACCTAACAGTTGCTGCAGGAATGCTTTTGTAATCCAAAAATTCCGTATGATAATTGTTTAATAAAAATCTATGGTAACATTTCCCCCCCTCTTAGGTAATACTCAACAGACGTTGCTAACATGAGGTAAAAAGCATTAAGTACTGTGGTTAAGGAATCCCCTCTCACTCTTAAGCATTCAATTCGCCTCTATGAGGAAAGAGAACAAAAAGATTTCATATAGAAGCTAAAAAGTTTAAGGTGAATTTTTTTCAAGTGTTATGATTTTGTAGAAGAAATCCTTAAATACAATCCAGATTGAGGAATTTGTAATTATCCTTATCGTTGAAAGTAGACAAAACAGGCCTGCTCTCTCAAATAACCCCCTTACCTTTTCCCCTTATTGTGGATTTTTTTTTGTCAACCATTGAAAAGAAAAACAAACTGAAGCACTGGATTTTTCGATCTCTTTCTTTAGGATTTTTGCTGTTTATAAAACCTGCTTTACGGCGCGGCTCCACATCTCCAGGAAAAGGCTCTTGCACAGATCTACGTCGGTGCAGGTCTCGGTCCCAGCCCCGATTAGGAGATCGCGCTCCGCGCTCGCTCGCCCCCTGCCGGCCAGGCCCGGGGCCCCAGGTACCTGGATTGGGCGCCTCCCGAAGCTGTTGACACGGTTGGGATCCGCGCCGGCTTCCAGAAGCTGCCGTACCGTTTCCACTTGCCCTCGCGCCGCGGCATTGGCCAGGTCCGCATCTCCACAACTGAGCATTCCCTTGTCCTCCTCACGCATTCCACCACCCCCACACACGCGCGGCCGGGATAGCCCACCGCTGGCGGTGAGTTTAAGGAGCCTCCTGTCTCCCTCCCAGTCCACCCCGTTCGGCAAGCCCTCCCTTCCCAGGAGAGCTCAGTTAGGTCAGTCCCCTCCCGCCGTGCTCCTGCGGCTTTGGGGCGCGTATAATGGCCGAGGGGCCGGGGGCTAGCTTCAGGCTTTTCCAGACGCTCGAGATCCAGCAGACACTCCGGCCGGTTCTTGGGTAAAGGCACCTTGAGCAGCAGCAGCTGAGCTCAAAGTAGCTCCGACCGCAGTACTTGCGTGCAGCAGCGTCCGCACCGCCGGGCCTGGTTCTCCAGGGTGGGGAGCCAAACGAGAGTGAATTCTGTTTGCAGCTGGGCCGCGGGTCGGGCTCGCCCCACCCCCTTAGGCCCCGCCTTCTATCCGGCCCGCCAGCCCTGACCCGGCCCTCTTTGGCAGCCCGGAGGCCAGTGTGACGTAAAGCCGACTGGGATAAGGGGGTGGCCTGCCCAGTGGCGATGGGACGCATGCGCAAACGCTAGCGCGGTAAGCAAAAGCTGGAACGCGGGAAGCGCTGCTCGCTGGGTGTCTCCTAAATCCGGGAGACTAAATTTTTGGAAATGACCCACTGCCCTCATCTCCTAATCCCCAGCAGGCGGAGCAGAGGACTTCTATTCCTTCCAGCTCCGGACCAGCCAGTTTCACTGGAGCTGTTTCCTGATTTCCCTATGCAATGGAGCGTCAGAGAGAAATGCATTTAAAACAACGCTTTGAAGATGTTTGAAAGTGACAGCTCTTGCACCTGTCATGCAGGTTAAATTCATCCCCAGTCAGTACTTGAACCTCATAAGTTTCATATCTTGCATCAGTCTTAGCAATTTTCGTTTGGGTGTGCCTTCCTATTTGAATCCATCAACCACAAAAACGGTGAAAAATCCCGAGAATCTTGTTTTGCTGTGCATTTCTTTCTTTTCACCGTTGAATTATAGATTTCAAAAAAAGCAAATTTGTTGGTTGCGTGGAGTCATTTCAGATTCACGGTGACCTCATGTGTTGCAGACTAGAACTGCTCCCCAGTTTTCCTGGCTGTAATATTTACAGTAGCAGATCGCTACTAGCCTTAAACCCCCTCCTCTCCCCCCTCCCCGCGCCATCCCTCCCCTAAAATAGAATCTGAAGGTAGCAACTTGGTACAAGAGAGATTTTAAAAACTTAATAAAAAAGATTTAAAGATCATATTTTCATTATATTTGTAAAGTACATCTTTGTTCACACTGTTACCTATTTTAATCCAATTTAGCAAGTATTGCCAGTAATCCTACTGGTGCAGTGGTTAATTGCTGGTCTGCTAACTGAAAGGTCAGATGGTTGGAACCCACCAGCTGCTCCAGGGAGAAAGATGGGCAGCCTGCTTCAGTAAGTATTTACAGCCTTGGAAACCCTATGGGGGAATTTCTACTTTGTCCTATAGGGTTACTATGAGTTAGAATCAACTGGATAGCAATGGGTTTGGTTTTTGGTCAGCAAGTATTTGATTGTTATTTACTGTGAGTAATAAAGGAAATGTATGCAAGTAATAAAGGAAATTTATGCAGTAATAATGAAACATAATAAAACAAAGGTGTGGTGCTGGGCCTGTCATTAAACAGGCTGAACCTGTCATTATATTCTCTTCTGAAGATTTAGAGGCCAAGTGCTTGTTTTTTTCTTCCTAATCTTCCTAGATGAGTTTCAATGAACATAAGCATTAAAGATTTAAAGAATTACAAGCAATGCTATGTTGAAATAGAAAGAGAACCACAAGTTATGCATCTGCTGCCTGAAAACTGGTGAGGAACTACATGGAAGGGGGCTTCTCCTAAAACCAAACAATTATTTATGAAACCATTAAAGGGAGACCAATTTCTTGCATTCTCATGAATGCCTCAACATGTTTCTTCTGGTATCTTAGCTCTGACTGCCTCTCCTCTCTCCTTCTCATCCCTTGTAGAATGAGGAAGAGCTCTTTTGTTTACAAACAGTGGGGCCCATGGAAGTGGGGAGTGAGGCTGAAGAAGATCTAGTGACTGAGCCTTAACAAGGCTGAAATCCACCTGGACAGGGTAGGGAAATGAGCAGCTGTAGTAACAACTTTTAGCCTTGTTTTTTTTTCATAAAAGTTTTAGGTTTACAGAAAAATTGCACAGAAAGTGTAGAGTTTTCATATACTCCCTTTCACCTCCCTCAGTTGTCCCTAGTAATATCTTGCATTGTTGTTTGCCGTTGAGTCGGCCCCGACTCATAGCGACCCCTCCTTGGGTTTCCGAGGCAGTATCACTACGGAAGTAGGATTGCCCAACCTTCCTTCCGAGGAGTGGCTGGTGGATTTGAACCGCCAGCCTTCTGGTGAGCAGTCAAGTGCCTTAGGCACTATGCTACCAGAGTGTGGTATATTTGTTACAATCGATGAAGCAATATTAGTACATTATTATTAACTATTGACAAATGTATGATGCCATGTATCCACCCATACAGTATCATGTAGAATAGTTTCACCATCTGAACAATACCCTCCACCTACTCTTCTCTCTTCTCTTCCTCCTAAGCCCCTGGCAACCATTAATTTTTTACTCTCTTAATAGTTTCTCATTTTCCATAATTTCATTTAACAATATGGATTTGAAGTTCCTCCATGTGTTTTCATGAATTGATAGCTCATTGCTTTTTATCAATGAAAAATATTCCATTGTATGAATGTATTATAATTTAACCATTCATTGAAAGACATCTTGATTGCTTCCAATTTTCAGCAATTATGAATTAAGCTGCAATAACATTCTTGTGCAAGTTTTTGTGTGGACATACCTTTTGAACTCATTTGGGTAAGTATGCAGGAGTGCAATTCCTGGATCATACAATAAGATTATGTTTAGGTTTGTAAGAAACTGCCACACTGCCTTCAAATGTGGCTATATCATTTTTTTTTTTCAGGAAAAAGTCCTTTGATTTGTTGGTGACTACTCCATCCTTTGTTTGACCAGATGAAAAGAAGTCTGCTTCTGGGTGAAGAAAATTATACTCTTTGGGTTCAGTTCTCATGCACAGTGTTTTGGAGATTTCAAGTGTCTAGGTAGAAGAGGAATGGTGTCACATTCATTGTCAAGAAAACCCAAAAACAAAACAAGACAAAAACCCCAAAATCTATCCTGAAGTACAATACTTTTAATGATAGGATAATATCCATATACCTACAAGGAAGGCCAGCTAATGCTACTATTATTCAAATATATGTACCAACCACTAAAACCAAAGATGAAGAAATTAAAAATTTTTACCACCTTCTGCAGTTTGAAATTGACCACACATGTAATAAAGATGCAGTGATTATTACTGGTGATTGGAATGCAAAAGTTGGAAACAGAAGCATTGGTAGGTGGAAAATAAGGCCTTAGTAATAGAAATGACCCTGGAGATCACATGATAGAATTTTTAATTTAATGACTATTCTTTGCAAATACCTTTTTATTTTTTCCCAACAACATAAATGGTGGCTATACACGTGGCCCTCAACAGATGGAATACACAGGAATCAAATCAACTACATCAGTGGAAAAAGGTGTTGGAGAAGCTCAATGTCTTCAGTCAAGGTTAGGAGCTGACTGTGAAACAGACTATCAGTTGCTCATATGCAAATTGAAGTTGAAACTGAAGAAAATTAAAACAAGTCCACAAGAGCCAAAATATAACCTTGATTTTAATAAGTGGTATTTTATAACCACTTGAACTTAGAGACCATCTAAAGAATATAGATTTGACACACTGAACACCAGTGACCAAAGAACAGACAAGTTATGGATTGAAATCAAGAACATCATATATGAAGAAAGCCAAAGGTCATTACAATACAGCAAAGGAGGAAAAGGCCAAAATGGATATCAGAAGAGACTCTGAAACTTGTTCTTAAATGGAGAGTAGCTAAAGCAAATGGAAGAAATGATAAAGTAAATGTACTGATGATTTCAAAGGGTGGTTTGAGAAGACAAAGTAAAGTACTACAATGAAATGTGCAAAGGCCTGGACTTAGAAAACCAAAAGGGAAGAATATGCTTGGCATTTCCCAAGCTGAAAGAACTGAAGAAAAAAATTCAAGCCTCAAATTGCCATATTGAAGGATTCTACGGGTAAAATATTGAACGATACAGGAAGCATCAAAAGAAGATGGGAAGAATATATGAGTCACTGTACCAAAAAGAACTGATTAATGTTCAGCCATTTCAGGAGGTAGCATATGGTTAAGAACCAATGGTATTGAAGGAAGAAACCCAAGCTGCACTGAAGAAATTGGCAAACTACAAGGTTCCAGGAACTGATGGAATACCCAGTGAGGTGTTTCAACAAAAGGAGGCAGTGCTGGAGGTTCTTACTTGTTTTTTGGAAGACCTGGCCAAGTGACTGGAAGAGATCAACACTTTTGCCCATTCCTAAAAAAAGGTGACCCAACAGAATTTGGAGATGATCAAACAATATCATTAATATCACACATAAGCAAAATTTTGCTGAAGATAATTCAAAAAGGGTTGCAGCAGTTTATTGACAGGGAACTTCCAGAAATTCAAGCCAGATTCAGAAGAGGCTGTGGAACCATGGATCTCATTGCTGATGTCAGATGGATCTTGGCTAAAAGCAAAGAATACCAGATAGATGTTTACCTATATTTTATTGACTATGCAAAGGCATTTGACTGTGTGGATTATAACAAATTATAGATAACATCATGAAGAATAGGAATTCCAGAACATTAACTGTGCTCATGTGGAACCTGTACATAGATCAAGAGGTTGTCGATCAAACAGAACAAGGGATTTACAATCAGGAAAGGAGTATGTTAGGTTTGTATCCTTTCACCACACTTATTCAATCTGTATGCTGAGCAAATAATCTGTGAAGCTGGTTTATATGAAGAGGAATGTGGCATCAGGATTGGAGGAAGACTTGTTAACAACTCTCGATATATG